ACACAATCAGTTCTTGTTTAGTAAATCAGTCTCAAAACAAGATCAAAAATACTTTTTGGCTGGATATAAGATTTTAAAACTTTGTTAGGTGGACAGTTTTTACAGTGAAGGGACAGTGCACATTAATCAACATTTCTGTAAATGTGCCAGAGTTAGCCACAGGCTAATTTTCATCTATTGTCCCTGGACTTGCTATGAACAAAAGTCATACAAAACAAAATAAAATAACAATAAACTACAATTAATGCAAATTGCACACCATTTTTTACAGATATTTAGTAATGAGCACAGCAACACTAACATGTTCATTCAGACCTAAAGAAAGTGGAGAAAACTACAAATGTTCATATCACCTTTAAAAGATTTGTTGTGTCTTTGTGAGTCACACACTGACAGATGATTTCAGAAAAGYCACTGAAACATTTATTTTGTCTCCATAATGAGGAGCTGTGCTTTTGAAACACGTGATGTTTAAATTAGAAGCTGCAATATTCCAAACATTAGTAAATTCAAGTATGATTAAAAAAACTAAAAAGAAAGTTTGAATGTCAAATGAATTTAAAATCCTTGAGTTTGTTTATTATATTTTTTATATACGAGTGGTAGAGGGGAAGAAAATGCTGCTAAGTCTTTGCTAAAACTGAGAGGCTGAAATTAATCTCTGACAAAAAGCACCTTTTTTATTTAGGCCTAAGTTTAGTTTGAATTGGTAAAAAGACTTTCATGCAAACAAACAAAGTAGTATAATATGAGTTAAAACAACATTTAATTTCCCTTTGRGATCAATAAACTGTTTTAGAATTGAATAGAATCGAAATAAAAGGATCTTGGGCTGTATGTGAAAGTCAACATGTGTGTGTGTGTGTGTGTGTGTGTGTGTGTGTGTGTGTGTGTGTGTGCTAAAGAGTGAGAACTTAGGTAATTTTTGGAAGGTGAGGATATTTTCCTGCACTATTTTTTGCAGCTCTGCTTACTAGTTAGGTTTAGACGTGTGGTGTGAATGAAGTTTTGGTTCAAGTTAGGGTTAGCTAGTAATGGTTAGTTTTATGGAAATGGTCTGGGTTAGGCATAAATAGTTACAAAAATGAATGGAAGTCAATACAAAGTCCTCAGTTTGATGCAAGTACAAGGATGTGCGTGTTCACATTATTTTCCAGGAAGTTCCTCTCAGAAACACGAACGTCATCAGCTTCTCAATAAATCTTAAAATTCAAAGTTCACTTTTTTTACTTCTACTTTTTTTTTTTTTTGCAAAAAACAACAACCATTTCCAAACAAGTGTCATGTTGTCATGTAAAATATGAGCAAACAGTGGGGAAAACAAATCCCTGCTGTTTCACACTTTCCCACCACATTTCAGAATTAAATCAACAAATGTACACAAGTTTTGATGAATGCGACTGACTACAAATCAYTACCTTAAAAGAAGGAGGCCTACAGGAGAGTGAAACAAAAAACATGAACAATTTACTGAGTGACGAGGTTAAACACCAGGAGATAAGAGGCTCAGCTTCATTTTCATATAGTTAGGGGTCAAAGGGACGTTTTTAAAACATGTTTGGATATAATTTGTATCTGGTGGATGTCATCTCTTGTCTTTAGTTCAGGTCTTTTGAAATGGTGTTCTGTGGAAAAGTTATGAAAATAATAATATCTTACCTGCTGAAAACAAACTGGTACAGAAATCCACTTTTAAAACTTGAAATTATTTCTTTAATGTCTTTTCTTTGATAGATGTCTAACCAAAGATTTGTACGTGTTGTAGCATTTATTACTTTGTAAGGCCCATTTTCTCAAAATGTGCTACCTTGTGAGAACTCACTGCTCTTTATGGGGCCCAAAACCCAGACCACATAAGTTCAAGGTGAGGGCTGGGCTATAAAAAATGAAAAATGAGTGAAAGTCAATGGAATGTCCCTCAGAACAGAAATACATGGTGTGTGTGTGTGTGTGACGTAACTGTTATGTTGCAACATCCAAGAATAGAGAACATAGGAGTCACTTGCCTGCAGAAACCCCCTGAGCTGCTCAATTACAATCTGTAACTGCTCACTGTTTTGTTTCATGTGAAAACAGGAGTTAAAAGTTTTAGCAACAAAATGAAACGAGATGTTACAGAAATGCTACAAAATAATGTTTTATGAGCCTTCAAGTCTACGTCTTCACAGTCGAACTTAAAAGGTTTTTATTTGGAGAAGAGTTCAGAGAAAAGAGTTGTTTCCCTCAGAAGAGTGGTGAGGGTGGGGGGTTTGGGATCGGACCTCTTGGGGCATTGAGGCTGGTGGGGGTGTATTGGGATCTGGGAGGGTGTGGGGTTCCTGGGGGCTGGCCGCTGGGGGTTCCGGAGCGGGGGTGACGCTGCTCTTGCTCTGAGGAGGGCCTTGGTGGTTCTGGGGGATGTCTTCGGGTGGCTGCATGTGGGCCCTCGGGTAGTTTGTAGCGACGGTCATGGGCCGCTGGTCCGGTTGCCTGGCAGTGCTGGGGCGGGTCAGGGGTGGGCGCAGGGGGCTTGGGGCTCTGGGGGCGTGCCGCCCCTGGGCTGTGGCTCTGGTGGGGCAGGGGGGCTTGGGCTCTGGCGGGCCGGTTGCCGGGCCCTGGGCCAATGTGTGCCCTGGTGTCTGGCTCTGGGCTGGGGGCCCCTCATGCGCTGGTGGTTTGCGGTTCTCATGGGCTGTGGGGTAGGGTAGGCTGGGGGCGTGACATGGAGC